CTTGCTGCAATCAAACGAGATGACGTAACCAGCTTCCACACACAGCTCCCATACATTACGCTTGGCATGGAAGTAGAGTCCGCCCCGGGCAAATCAGTCTTTCCGGACTGCATGGCACATAAGATTGGTGAGAAACTAAAAGCTACGAAACCAACAGGCACAGAAACCGTCCTAAACTACTCATCAGCACACCCAAAGTCCGTGCACGCCAGTATTGTCTCGTCGATGTTTTGTCTAGTCAGAGCCCTGTGCACAGAAGCGATCGACCGAAAAGTAGCCTAGATCGAGATTGCCAACAAACTTCAAGAGATAGTGTACCCAGTGAGTTTGACCAAGCACCAGTATCTAGTCCCATTAAGGAATGGATTGGCACAGCAGTCATTCCATACAAAGCAGGAACGCTGAAGGTTATTCAAAAACTCTATAACCAAGAAGACATTTGGGTAGCTTTCAAGAAGAAATCGCTATGCTCAGTTTTGGTGCCATTGAAAGATCCCTTGACAGTTGAAAGCATAAGAAATAAGCGTATAAAACTACCAACGACGATTGCACCAAGGTTTACATGGGACAAACTGCCAGGAAATTGCACACTAAAATTGGTGAGAATAGAAAAGGATAAACAAACCACCAAGGAATGCAGCAGAATACCAAACGCTGTTCTAAGACTCGGCGATGACAGCACATACCTTAGGCACAGGACCCAGAATAGGTCTGAAGAATGTGGAAGTGTTAAGATGGGGACTGCTATTGACACCACAGCGGCTGATAGCCGAGGCAGTGGAAATTACTGAGCATCACAGCGTTAATAGAATTGAGGGCTTGAAACTGCGAACTTATGAAAGGCGGTCTTAGATAAGCCGATTCGACACATGACTGTGTGGCTGTCAATCCACATGGAATCACTAGCATAAACTAGGGGGTGGGGCTGGAAATCTCAGCCCAACAAAGGGGCACAGTATCACTCTCATAAAACTATCTCAGCACTGGCTCATCCATACAGATTCAAACCAAACCAGAAGAACTAGTCCCTAGGCTGGACCAAACCCATTTAGGTTTCCCGTTGACCCAACACTTATTTACCCAACCCAACACACAAAAATCACTTGGCCTACGCTTAACAGAAATATAGCTTGACTTAACTTACTCGTTCTACTTCCACCTTAAATTCCGACCGGCCTGGGAAGCTAGTCACTGGCCTGAAGTCAAAAGCGAAACGTTGCCAAGCAATAAATCTACCTATTGTCACCAAACGTTTCTGAAAATGAGTTACCGTTTTTGTTTAAGACCGTAAAGTTTTTTCAACATTCTTTTTTATACATTTTTATTGTCCGTATCCAGAGCTTTCACTCAGTCACAACTTCAAGCCGGCATTTTTGCCATTATTCTGGCAAAAATATTTTGATTATGCCCGAGGTGTGCCAACTATCATTTCGAAATAAATATTTCTTATTACTTTCACTGCCATTCTATGTGATCCGATTTAATGACTCAACATGCCTGCAAATACATACCCTCACGCGCATGCTTTGGGGCAGCCGTAACAGAAAAGGAAAAATCAACAGTTTTATCACACTCCTGGCCCGCAGTTGGTCACCGAGTCTCGGTCTTCCAAGCGATACATAACCGCATTTCGAAACCCCAGTTTTGGAAAAGGTCTGATTCGATTATTCACCGGAGGTGTCCACTCGTAGATCTGCCCGCGCACATCATCTCTCCTGCGAGGTTCATTCATCCAGAATTCCCTCGCTTACCTTAACAATCGGGTTCTTCAGTGTAAAACACTAGCACCCGATTATTGCTTCTAAACTCGTCGACCATCCTTCAAGACTGTATTACTCCCACATCCTGATAGTTTATGGACTTGTCACCCTGGTTACCAACCTATTTTCGCAAAAGTATCTTGTCGGAGCTTTGTTGTGCTTTTGATGCCATGAACAAAACCAGACAGTAGCAGCACTACCATGGGTGAATGGCTCATGATTCGGTCAGTGACTTCGGGTCCTGTAACTAATTTTTGCCGGTAAGTGTCCCATGACCATCGGTTCCGAAGACTACTTTCGGTAGTTTAGATTAATCAAGTCGTACCAGCATAGAAGAGTTTGTATTATTGTAAATTCACCAGCGAGCCAAATCTGCCATGACTAGCTCCAAGAGGTGCCTGTTTTACAGTGCACCGCACGCCCCTTGATCTCACGATAACATTTTGACCCCGGCACTGTGATTACGAACTCCGATCCATGCCAATTCATAGTTGAGGTGGACATCCCCGACTACTGTCGTCGTCATCAATGTTCTCGTGTGTCCGGAAGCTCTAAAGCCTTCGTTTAGAGAATATTTACTTGGGAACCAAGTTAAACTTGACAGTTAGGGGCACATAGAACTTCTCCATATGGGCACCTTAGGCACCTTAACCTTTCAATGGAATAACACAAATTCTGACAATCGCGGAAGGCTATTTGCAGATGTCGCTGAAATTCCGTGGTCAAAATGAAGTTACAATTCGCATCCCAGTCTGTACCCATTCATTCATTGAAACTGGAGGACGCGTCATCGGAGTAAATCTACGTCTCTGTTGCTCAGCACTGATGTGTTGTTCTGCCGTTCTGAACCATGTTTACCGGGGACTAGACTACCACAAACATTAGAGGAGCCCACAATCCCGATACCCAGCCAAATAATCTGGAAAGAAACTGGCAACGCGAACACCGCTGACGTCGGTTAACGACCGTATCGTCTAGCATTTCAAACCAAGCACGAGAGGGAAACATGGATCTTACCCTGGAACACAACCTATGAAAAAACGGTTAAACTTTACATTATATTATTCGTCCCCTTGTCACGCATCAGTTCCTCTCCATCTTTGGGTGTTTACCACTTCAGTTTAGGCACCAAACTGTCTAAATTTTGATGGAGGAAGTCGCCACCCCTGTCCCAGTCCTCAATCTTTAGAGCTAAAGGGCTGTGTCGAACAGATGCGTACACATTAATTTACCTAGTATTAGGGATCCTGTGAATGTACAAGTTGAACAGTTCGTCTCAAATGACTCAGCCTCATCGTGAGGGAGCGGTGGTCTTTCTGATACTGCTGGTATCAGAACAGCCATCGTCTATTCATCCGATGGCTGCACGGGTGCCTCTTGAAATTCGTCAAAAAGTATTGTAGATCATTACAGGATGTTCGGATTCTGGATAGCAACCCCGCATTCCTTATCACTGGTTCGCCAATGTTACTTGAAAATCCATCGAACAGAGCGGCTCACCCGCTCGCGCGTGTCGGCCATGCAACAATGCGACTTAGTTACCTATCTTTCACCTTCATCTTTTCCATATTGAACCATAGCCTTCTATAGATTCCTACTTTGAAGAGCCATGAGAATGTTTCAAGACATGCAGCAGGAGGCTACTGTGACAGTGCGTCCCTTTAATTTGTCCCAATTGGTTGGATTCTCTCACATTAACATACAACCTTTTGGGCAGCGCCACCAATGTGAGCGTCTACGGCAAGTTTGTCATCGTCTTCACACTCATCACGATGCAGTTTCTGCACACACTCCGGCAACCCCCGACCAGGTGTTAGCTACATTTCAATGTTCACGGCTACGCAGATTTTTCTTTGGTGGTGGTGCTAGTTTGAAGGAGTACACCAGGTTCCTGTGCTCATTCCTCGCTTTGGGTTTCTTAACTACACTGATGTCTCCCTTTCACCATGATCAAGTTACATCTTCACTTCCAGTCCTGTAGGTATCATCCGCTGAAGTTTGTCCGAGTTAAGCCCGGTTTTCCTGCGTGCAAGAGGTGTCTTTTTATTTGTAGAGTGTGTTTCGTTCCCGACGTAGAGGCATCTGGGGAAGACAATTTGATTGGCACAGTTGAATGATGGGCAAATCAAGTTGTCCTACAAACCCAGGCTAAGGCTATCTGCTGTTTGGGTTTGAGTCATGCGCCCCAATCCGCGAGGACGACCAAGAAATCCGAATTCTGGAATCAGTTACTCAACAGTCATGCGCCCCAATCCGCGAGGACGACCAAGAAATCCGAATTCTGGAATCACGTTACTCAACTGATTCTCCTCTGCAGATGCCGTAAGGTTACAACATATGGCGGTACAATCACCAGCCTGATGATAAAGGGCAGATCATTAAGACTTAAAATCGACATCTTCACAAACAAACAGATATCGACGACCAGCAACCGCAAAAATCACAATGTGCGACCAAAGCCCGTAAGAGCTATAAAAATAGTTCAGTAAAAAAGAGGGTTTCAGTTAATCTGATCAAGGGGAATAAATATGGAGATTGGCTGTCACATGGTGTTGGAAACGGGAGCACAATGTTGGTAGGCTGCCTTCTACAACCCACACACTTAAGATATCTCCAAGCCATGTGAGCATGACAAAGCATCCCACATTTTAAATTTAATGGGCATCTGGTTCGCCCACGACTGTACTGGTCTGCTGATGGATTTAACATACGGCGGTCTGTCATTATCTGGCTCGCGTCTGCTAATATACAGGAACGCAACGACGATGTGCAAAACGATAGGGAGTACACTTCGGAGAATTCAAACCGATCGACACGCGTTAACTCTGTGAACGGGTGAGATTCCAAAGTCGCGCGAGCACCATATTTCATAAGTCCCATGCATCAGCCAAACCGCTTCTTGAATATGCCAAACAAGTTCTCCACTCAGGGCGCAAGAAGGACGAAAATGAGTGTAGAGGTGGCTTCTGCAGAGCCGAGTCACAGCTTTTGACTCCTCACACGTGTATACACTCAGAGCACCTGTCGCGCCCGTTTCTCTATGTGGCCGTTGGACATATTCAGAGCTGAAAATCTAGGATTATGTCACAGCGGTAGAAACACTGCCAGCAGCTAGGCGCGCAAGACAGAGTGAACCGTTTTGATCATTCCGCCGGAATCTGAACTGTATCTGTTGGCCACTCAAGGTCGTCAGAACAAAGCGAATTGTTTTTCACGCCACACCAATGACCTTCACGATATATGCCGAATTCACCCCGGCTGTCGCAGGTCCTTGCGGGCAAAACGTATAATATCAGCGTTGTGGGACTCCCGAAAGCTGGCAAATCGTGCTTGTGCAATAGATTCGCGTTACCACATCCAGATTTTTATCGTGAAGATCATCTCAGTGTGCTGAGCTCTGTGGATTTCCGCAGCGCCATTGTCAACTGTGAAAACTGGATTTATTGGGGCTGCGTGTCAAGACAGGTAGAGGACTATACCGTTAAATTTAGAATCGTTGAACACACGGAATTCTTGAATGCTTCCACCCTTCAGCCTTTCGTATCTGCGAAGCAAGGGGCATCACAGGATTATATTCAACGTTGTTCGGCCTTGCGCCTCTCATCTGAGCACAAACTTCGTTACATATGTAAAGATCAACTTGGACAGGAGGGGTTATATGAGCAGGAGTACTTCCCTTCGGGAGGTATTGAGGTCAGCGGCTTCGTCCTCGTTTATGACGCAACCCCGCGAAACTCCGAACTATCGTCGGAAGCCCCTAGGAACTGTGTCCAGCGTCCCGCCATACAAGAGTTTCTTACTCACTTATTAAAATTGAAGAAGCCTGTGGTTTTAGCCCTATCAAAATTGGACTCTTGTTCACCACAATGGGTTGAGGAACTTTCCCTCACGTTGCAAAAGTGCAATGAATTCCGCAGGGTGCCTGTTATTGAAACATCCTCTCACAAAAATGTGAACGTGGAGCAAACGTTTTTAACCCTAGTAAAGTTGATTGACAAACCACGGGGTGCGAAGTTCCGAAATTTACATTTCCCCCAAGCTCTCCAAGAAGAAGAAAATAAGATAGCCTTGGCCTACAGCGCATTCCGCAACTTGTTATCTCATGCGCCACCAACCTATCTCGAAAATTGGGAGGCGTTTATGAAAAGATATAGCCAGCAAGCCGGAGTTGCAACGTACGTTAATTTGGTTGGGACAACAGGTGCTCAGAATGTGTTCGGTCGATATATCGCTGAGCGCCAACTGATGACAAGACAGAATAATCTCCACAGGATTTCACAAGTTCTTACTCATTTCCTTCCTAGACTTGACTCAATACGCAATAAGTGAGTTCATTTGTTATCTCACCCAGGTCAGCTGTATGATATTTTGCTTATCTCGGCCGAAGGAAGGCGTAGACATCTAAACCAACTGATTGCACATTTGTTCCCCACACAGCCTTTGGCTCTGTTGATCGTTCAAACTTTGGAGAAAGCCACTCAACTGATTAGAGTAGTTCGCTGAAGTTCAGTAGGTGCAAAGGCACGCGTGAGTACGGGATCACAATCGTCTCTCCCTTCTACGATTACTCTTAAGCTCAGTTAATTTCATCGTTGTTTTGAAAAAACTGTTTAGATCATCTGTACTTGTGATGACAGACGTCATATTTTTTCACTTACCCAAGTAATCGGCCGAATTTTTGCTTGGTATTCCGTTGATAGTTGTCAGCAGAAAATTCGCTCGCCAGTTTATTGTACTGAACAGCCGCGAAGGCCTATATTTCTCAGGTTGTCCACATCATGCTCGGGCACCTGGTTCACTTCGGTTGCTGCTCTATTGAGCTATACCTATACTAGGTAGCCGAAGGAGGGAACACTTACTTATTAGGACCTATGTCATGAGTTGCTAACCAATGAAACAACTTGTGATTCTGGCCCAAAGACACCAATTCGATTAAGTCATATGTCAGTCAGTGACCATTATTTGACATGGTTTTCAGGGGAGAGGACAATTTCCGAGCAACTGAGCCTACCGCCCAACGCTTCTCTACGTCTTCGTCGAGTTGTAGACTTCGGCTTTTGGTTGTTTCCTTTCTTCAAATGGCTGGGCGAAAACGGTGCGAGGTAGCTCGTTCTCTGGTATGCAGACCACCTGGTGTAGCCAATGCAATTTCTCGTAGGCGAGGTGTGTCCTGTAGAACCATTAGTATTGTGGATTAGATGTTCCCACCAGATTCTGGCAGTTGTTTGGGGACGATCTTCGAACACACGCCCATTAGGTGCATTCCGCACGTCAAGACTAACCGTGTGCCATGGTGCAGTATGGGTCGCACTTCTGTGAGGTATAACAAAAGGATTGTCACACGGGTCTCGTGGGTGGTACAAGCTGCGATTCAAGGGATGATCCACGTAACCCCTCATGGACTGACTGGGGGGCGAGATGGCTTGAGTGGTTAGAGCGCGAATTAACTGACCGGAATGTCCTTGGGTTCGAACCAAATCATTGCCTCTCCATTCCCTCTGTCTAGGCTTGGGAAACTTAGTAGTATCCCAGCCCTCGTACTTTCTGGTGGCATGGTAGCTAGGCACCGAAAGCCAAAAAGCGCACATAATCGTCACCTTGTGCTCTAGATGACGACCGTAAAGCGGGGAAATATTGAAGAATATATATGTATGCGCGAATTTACTGACCGGAAGGTCCGTGGTTCGAATCCGACCTCCGCCACTCGACTTCCCCTGTCTAGGCTTGGGCAACCTGACAGTATCCCAGCCCTCGTGCTTCCTTCGGGTGGCATGGCAGCTAGGCACCTGAAGGGTGCTACAGCTGAACGCTTTTTCCCTTTTGTATATGTGTGCAGGTAAACAGACGATGAGCGTCACCATATCTGCCTCGGCAAAAAGTTTGTACATCGGGGTGTCCAAGCTGGCTTACACATAAAAATAGGGGAAGTGTGAGCTGCAGGGGAATCAAGCTCTATTATTCACAGACCCTAGAATTACCCGTTCCACTTTACGCGAACTGTCTCCTGTGACGGGACAGGTCAGTTTCAAGGGTGTTCCGCACTGTTTCTGCTCACGGCCAAGGACATGGTTTGCACACAACAAGACGCAACACCGACTCTATTGCTGGCTATGAAGAGCCGTGAAACTGAGCAGGTGTGCACTGAATATAGGAATCAACATCGAGGCGTTCCAATCCTCCCGTATTTTCCCTTGCTCTTAATACTTTAGAGTAAAGGTGTCAGGATAATCAAGAGCGACTCACCACTTTCTATGAAGAGTGCGCATGCTCTATTTTGCTATAGCAATGAAATTGCACGCTGGGCTCCTGTTATGTTCTCTACTAATCAGTCAATCAACCTTGTCAGTTACACACGAAATTGAGAAGACAAAAAGCCTTGAGGAAATTATACTGCGGCAACTGAACAGCCCATATCGAGATTCGAAGAATCAGGAATGGGATGGAACAAACAGTCCAATGAAAGGCTGAAATATATAGAGAGAAATGTGAGCAATATGTTCGTAGGAGGAGTGCCTCCTAACA